GCGCAGAAAAAAAGCATGTAAAAAGCTCATAATTTTGAGCTATTGACCGACTCATTCTGAGTACCCTGGCCGCCCAGCTTGACGGAGCTTCAGAATTGCTCCCCTTCACTCCTACAGAGGACCCCTTGGAAAATTGTTTTTAAGGTTTTTCTCTTCTTCCTAATATTTATGGAACCCTCAAGATCATTTTCCAATAAAAAAATTTTGATCTCGCCACCAATTAATATTTATTTTGCAATTATTCAATAAAATGTTCAGAGAGAATCTCAGAACTGCCCCCTTCGCTCCCACAAAGGCCCCCTTGGGAAATTGTTTGTTATGTTTTTTTCTTTTTTCTAACATTCAAGAGACCCCGAAGATCATTTTCCAATAAAAAATTTCTGATCTCGTCACCAACATATATTTATTTTCCATGTTTTCACAAATCTTTTTGAGAGAATCCTACACTTGCTCCCCATGCATCGTTCTGCGATCCCCTAGGAAATCTTTTTCTCACATTTTTCCTTTTTCAATACATCCAGTGGACCCCAAGGGACATCTTGAAATTAAAAATTTTCAATCTCATCATCAATTAATTTCTTCTGCAGTGTTTCTAGTTCTATATATTTTGAATACGGTTGCAACATATGGGGCCGCCATATCGTACACTCCCCATCAAAAACTGCAAATTTGCGGCTGCGCGGCTGGGAGCCTATTCTCGACTCAGGATCGTACGATCGCACGAAAGCGAGTCGCATACGACCCAGCAGTTCGCTTATGGGCCGCATGTAACGCATTGTCGTACAACCTGTACGATCCTGAACCGTACGATCCTGAGTCGAGAATAGGCTCCCTGGCGGCTAGTTTCAGTCCCATAGAAGGGTGCTTTGTTTGAAGTACGGAAACATACACTGGACGTCCGAAATAATCTACTTTTAATGGGGATAAATTTAGAAATATAGAGAAACTAAGTTCTGGGAGAACAGAAAAAGAAATCGAATGTAATTAACAATTACATGAATAAATAAACAATTTACCTGTCGTCACATGAGCTTTGTCCAGAATGCACGCTAGCCCTATCCTCAGGATAATTTGTCCCAGTTTGCGATAGTTTCGGTTGTGGTTGCTGATGATGAGTATGATTGGCGTAATATCTATTGTACCAGTCCATGTACGCTGATGGATTAGTCCTCCTCAAATTCTCCAGATAAGCATAATAGTTAGCATTGTAATTAGGCGCATATTCATACCCAGCATAGCCATTATTATACCCATAATATAGATCTCTCGATCTCATATAATAATCTCGATCTCGGTCGTTATAAGAAGATCTGCTAGAGGGTCTCGAACTTCTCGAATATGGATCATCATAGTACTCCCTCCGATGATCACGATCATAGTCCTCAAATCTTCGCCTCCTACGGTCAGCATCAGAAAAGTCGCGAGTTCGTGGATCTCTCATATCTCTCCCATCTCTCATGTAATAATCCCTTGCTTCTCTATCTCTGTCTCTACGTTTCCCATCATCAGACCTGTCTCTTCGACTTCTACATTCATCTCGTTTTCCCGGAACTCTACTATCCCTTTCCTCTTCGCCCCTGACTCTCCCTCGACGTCCGGCATCGTCATTATCATTAACTCTGTGTCCACCATCGCCACTTCGGTACGAAGCATTCCTGCGGTCCAGATCTTCCCTGGAACTATAGGGGCGATCATAATCCGGCCGTCGACGATCATAATAATAATCGTCATCGCATGCTCGATCTCGAACATGCTCATAATAACTTTTGTCATAACGACGTCGATTGTCCAGAGGTAAGGGACTTGAATCTCTCGGATCTCTACGTTGTCGTCTCTCTCTACTATCATCTCGAGAGTTTCCGGACTCTTCATCATCACCATCTTCATAAGAGTCACGACGTTTGGGGGATCCTGGAGGGATTGCGGCAACTTCTCTCGTTGAGGCACCAACAGCTTCTTCTCTAGTCTCCTGAATGTTCATGATTGAAGAAATTGATGAATATTCTAGGGAGCCAGCAATAACTCTATTGTTCCTATCGTCAAGCTTCATGGAGACCGGCAGTGTCACTTCTGTCGGAGATATCCCTACAGGTACTTGTCTTATTCCACTATCAATATCAACCAGATCTGAGTGAGCAACAGCGCTGCCTGTTCCACTACCTGGTACCTGACGTATTTCGTTCGGTTCACAATGAACATGAGGCGTTTGTTGAATAGGGGTTATCCTCTCCTCTCCCGAGGGATCGTTCCTGGATTGAGTAGGTGGAAGCGTTCTCTCCCTACCTGATGGATCATTCCTACGTTCAAGAGAATCAGGCTCCACACGACCAGTATCTTGAATTAATTCACTGCCAGTCGAATCTGTATATTGCTCCTGTCCAGTGGGATCATTTCTGGAGAGTTCAGGATTGCTGGATTGCCCAAGGACTTCCCTAAGAAAAGGGATATCGCTAGGAACTTCATCATTATCTTCATCCTGGCTGGGAGCTACAGTCTCTTGATCATGATGAGAGTCTGTTAATTCTCCAGTCTCAAGAAATGTGTTTCTATCGTTTGATGCAAATTCAAAATTTTCAGGAGGCGGGGGCTCCTGTTCTACATAATGCTGTTGGAAATGTGAGAGATGAAATACAGGTGTAGGATCGATCTCAGAAGTTCGGATTTCAGTTCGTGGGTCTTCTTGGGTGGGTGTCAAATTGAACTCAATAGGTCGCTGGATACTCTCACAAGTATTGATTGGTGGTCCTGAGGTAGTAGAGTTTGGAGGTGGTGTCCAGCGTTTTCCTAATGAGAGATGCATTTCATTGACATTGGGATACCGATTATTCTGAGCTGCTGAAGACACTTGGGATGTCTGGGCTGCATCATCATTATACCATTGATCATAATGCATATATTGAGAACTATTTTTATGTGAGATACTCTGATTTTGAAGATTTATTTGTTGCGGTAGTAATAAATCGTGTTCCTGAACCGGTCGCACAATACTTGTTGGTGGTATTGGTTTGTTAACTCTGAAATTAGATTCTGAATGGCTAATTGATTGTGTCTGAGGTGGTGGGTATTCATTCAACATCGAAGACAATTCCTCAGGCTGTGGAGAAGATTTAATACCACCCGATTGAGCCTGGTTGATAGGACTCTGTTGGTTTTCCAATACTTCCTGTTGTTGAGGACTCTTTGAAGTTTTATCGATGTCATGAAATAATTCTGATTGAGCACAAGCATAAGACAACTGGAAAAATCGATGATTTCCAGGTGAAATCTCCTGTAGATGTGGCAGTTGAGTCTCCATCTGTTGGTTGGGGAATTTATGTGTCTCGCCGAGATCCATTTGATTAATGTTCAATGATAAATCACTCATTTTATCAATATAACTTTTTTTCGTATGTTCCATTGCGGAATGGTTTATAAACGAACTCTCAAGAGGTCCTGCACTTGTTGTAAATGATGTTGAATGTATGTCGCTAAGTTTAGGAACTGAAGGGGATGATGATACCGGAGCGTCAGAGACTAAACTAGATTTGAGTGCTTGTGATTGAGAGCAATGTGTTGAGCAATTTTCATGGTGTTGCCACTCTGGAACGACAAATTTATCAACTTTTTGAGGTGGATTTTCGTTTAATTGATTTGCAATGTTTTCTTTCGAATTTCGCCAGGCTTGATTCTTGTGTGGTGGTTGTTGTAGTGCTTCTTCAAGAGAGACATCGCGAGGTGCCAAATGTTGGCTGTTTAAAGATGGTTTTCGTTGATTCTCAGCCAGAACCTGTGGAGCTGCTGGTGTAAGGTGGTGGGAGCCTTGCCTCATCAAATCGTCAACTTTTTGAATTAATGAATGACTGGGAATGTTGAATTGAGAATCGTCATGTTGTTGGGACATTTGCATCCTCTGATTATTCATTTTTTTAAAGGAATTATTCTCGCTACTAGAACTTTGCCAATAGGTGGGTGGAGGTGGAGCAATGATAGGTTGAACCTGATTCTGCCACGTTTCTTGAGTTGCTAAACTGGATTGTTGATAGTGATGCTCCTGAGGATGAAAGTATGCAGTTTTTTTATTTTCACTGTCAAAAGACGTTGACGAAGGGGGCATATGCGTCGTCTCTCCCCACTGAGTCTGAGTCTTGCTATTTGCATTAGGTACTGTTGAAATGCTAGGTAACTGGGAATTTGGAATAGTCGAGGGAGGCAACTGAAACATTTGCTGTTGTTTCCCACCATAATTCGAGGAATGGGAGTATGGGTCCTGTACCAAGTTCGGTGTGGATTCTCGACTCGCCGTTGCGGGAGATTTTCCACCTACTAAAGATGGTATTGAGTGAGGAGGTGGGCCTGATCTATTATTCCCCTTTGAATTATCATAATGGTTATTCTGAATGGATGACTGACATGTTTGTCCTGAATTTGAGGACGTTGAAACGCCTTGCGATTGCTTCTGCGCGTCATATGCCTGGTCTACACTCCAATTCCAAGCGTCATTTCCATTTTCATGATTATTATCATTTCCCCAGTCCCAAGGGTCACCAGTCATCTTTGGTTGGCTTGAAATTGACATCGGTTGCTGAGGTTGAAAAAGGTTATTTGGAATTGTTGACATTTCTCCATGTTGCCCTCCACCTGTGACTTGCGGCCATGCAGGTTTATTCCCTATACCATAATGCGGTACTGCTGTGGGATCCAAGCGTGATCTACCTGGTCGAGCTCGATATGGATTCTATTTTAAATTTTTTTTAAAAAAGTATACTTTAACAACTATCTGGTTAACTAATCATAGGCTGATAGAAATCATTGATATTTGAATTACTCACATTCATTATAGCAGCCCTCGATGGTTTCCCTAATTCTTTGAATTTTCAATGCTCCTGGAAGGAATAATATGAAAAAATGTCATTAATGTCACGGAAATTGTTTCAATATAGTGGGACATGGGAGATTTACATTGATTAACATTTTAGTTCATTGTTTAATTTTCGACTTATGTAACCAAAAATAGTAAGAAAGCAGGAAAACTTGGCTCAATATGCAATAATATGCATCTTGTAATCGTTAACGTCAAAATTAATTGAGGATAAATACGAGTGATGGTTTCACGAAAATAGAGAAACTCATTAGTTGCACGAATTATTAAGTTATTGAGAAGAAAAAGTGGATGATTAATAAACTTTCTAATGATATATATCTATACTCACCCACAAATTGTGTCTGGCATTGACATCCCAACACTGTCCAGCGCACTATTTGTCAATAAATTACGGGATTGGAAGACGATAAAACACAACTATAAAAGACGCTGCAAGGATTGCGGGACGACAGAAATATTATCGATGCTCTTGTTCGGTTTCCAACACTAGCATTGAATCAATATGAACAAATATGTTATGAAAATTAACTTGAACAGAAAGCAGACATGTTCTTTTCAGGGGGGTACACGGAGAATTGAATCATAACCACGTCACTAGTCGCACTATAGTACTTTTCTCTAGGATGAGCACTTGAAGCAGAGATTATAGGGGAGATGAGCAGGGCCAATGTAAAGTGTTCAACAGCAAAATTGGTAGCGGTGGCGCATGGACTACGATGGAGCGTACGGAACTGTTGGTATGGTAGAACCCGAGCNTAGGGCCCGAGCATAAATTTGTCGATAACCGGAAAGGGGGTCTCAATACGGTAACTCCACGCATTTTGTAATAATTGTCAGGAATGTAAAATCGAACATATTATAATCAATAATATAATGAATGCAGAATCTAATGATCTAAAAGTCTTTTCCTTTTTCTCGACATATTTATTATTGACACGTAGGTCAAAAAATTCATAGAAAATCCCAGCGCTGNTATAGTTTTCCAGTGATTGTATTGAATAATTGTGCAGATTTTGTTTTTTTTTTACTATAGTAATGTTCGATTATATCTATTTATTCCCCCCCTGAGTGAGAAAGAAATATGTATCGCGCTCGCTCCCACTCATTGTCGTCTCCGTCGCGTTGGCACGTGCCCGTCCTCGGCCAAATTTAACGAGTGCAAGTGAGAAAAAAAATGGAGAAGGAGAGAGAAAACATTCAAACTCGTTTGAACGGTTGGAACGTTTTCGTTGTTCTCCAGCGATCTACACATAATGGGATTAATTCAATAATAATAGACTAATGAAGCAGATTTTTCGCAGATTATTGCGAGATATAGATGAATGGTTTGCCTCCTTCAGTGACCATAAAAAATTGTCTCCAATCGACAATATCTCCCGAT